TTCGAAGAGTGAACATCAGAGACTGTTGAGTCTGATGCAGTCGTTAAATATTCCAGAGTGGAAATCAGGTAGTATTTTCACGAAATTGGTGTTGAGATTTCCAAAGAATTTGTAAAGACATAATTTTAATTTGAATTGTTAGGAGTGGATTAACTATTCCGTGTTGAGGATATACGAGATGCATATTGAGAAAGTGGTGAAGTTGGATGAGATACTGACGAATATTGTGTCAGATGGAAATTTGAGGTTTATATTGAGATTTTGGAGGGGCTTACAGGAAGCTTCGGGTACTAAGTTGAAGCTGAGTTCGACCTACCATCCGCAAACTGATGGTCAGTCAGAGAGGACTATTGAGTCTGTAGAGAATTGGTGAGAGCTTGGGTGTCGGATCAAGGTGGAGCGTGGGATGATTAATTATCGTTGATTGAGTTACCTATAATAACGGTTACCATCCTAGTGTCAGAATGGCACTATATGTGGCTTGGTGAAATAGGGAGTGTAGGACTCTCCTGTGTTGAAATAAATCGAGTGAGAGTGTTGTACTCAGACTTGAAAATTATGCTTGAGATGGCTGAGAAGATCGAGAGGATCCGAGGCAATATGTGTTTTGAGAGTCACGTCGGTGACCGGTGTTGGTCGAGCTTCGAAATCTCAGAAGTTCGCACCGTGTTCTGTAGTTGTATCAGAGTGGCGCAGCGGAGGCATGGGAGGAGTAACATGTTAGACTGTTTTTCCGTTGTCGCTGTGAATTAGCATGATATGTTTCATGTGTCTTAGTCGAGAAAGTACATTGAACCAGGTGGATGATGTACAAGTGAAAAATATTCCGATTGTTGAGGCATTGCTAGTTCGTTTTGGCGAGCGAGGAACAACTCCGAAGGGAGGAGATATCTTTGGTGAAAGTAGTATGGGGAGGTGCTGCAGAAGGCAGTGTGACCTGAGAATTGGAATAAAGGATGCGGGGAGCGTATCCGGAATTATTTCCATCAGGTAATTTTCGAGGACGAAAATAATTAAAGTGGGAGAGAGTTGTAACACCCATTTTAATTATTTAGTCATTTTATTATTATTTTAAATATTATATGTTGGTGTACCCTTTGGTGGGGGTGTATTTGGTGATGTTTGGTGGGTGCTCCTGATATGGGAGGATTATTGGTGGTGTTTTGGTGAATATAATAATATAGTGTATAATATTGATATTGGTGGGATTATTATTATTATTATTATATTTATTATAGTTACTATTGTTATTAACATTATTATTATTTTGGTGAGATAATAATAGGATTATTATTACTATTATTATTATTATTACTTTATTAAAGTTATTAACATTATTATTATTTTGGTGAGATAATAATAGGATTATTATTACTATTATTATTATTATTATTATTTTATTAAGTTATTAACATTATTATTATTTTGGTGAGATAATAATAGGATTATTATTACTATTATTATTATTATTATTTTATTAAGTTATTAACATTATTATTATTTTGGCGAGATAATAATAGGATTATTATTACTATTATTATTATTATTATTATTTTATTAAGTTATTATTATTATTATTAAATTATTATTATTATTGGGATTAGAAAATTAAAATAGAGAAGGAGAGGGATTAGTAGTTTTACGATACATTGTGAGAAGTTAGAGAAAGTGGAAAAAGAACGATAGAAAAGAGAGAACGGAAAAGGGAACGGAAAAGGGAGCAAAGAACGAAGGATACAGGGGAAAATCAGAATTGGCCAAACCTTGGAGGGTTCTTTCATCGATCAACCGATTAACAAGGTAATGGGGGAGAAACTTGATTGGGAATGGTTTATACATGTATAGGGTAGTTGGGGATTCCTTAACCCCGTAGAAAATTGATCGATATATGATAATATATATTGTTATGTTATGATTGATGATGATTGTTGTTAATTATATAGTAATCGTTAATGAATTGGTGTTTTGGGATGATTTGGCATATAGGGCATATAGGGTGTTTTACAGTTTTTAGGGAAAATTCTGTATGGCTTTTGAGGTATCGATAAAGTGTGTAGGTGATGATTTTGGGAATAGGAATTAGAAGCCTATTGGTTACGGTAATGTGCAAGATTGGTACTAGAATAGACTGAGGATCTGAGTTGAGATGATAGGTACAGTTTGGCCTTGATGCCATGTATGAATGATGACTGTGGGAATTAACTTGTGTACTCGGTGATAGTACATGTTTCCCGTAATAATGACTGGTGGGAAATTAGTTGATATATATGTGGGTAGTGATCAGTGGGATCGTGTATTCCCCGAGTGTTGAGATGTGTTTATATATGGTGTTAGAGTGTGAACTCGTTTAATATCTAATTTAATTAAAATGAATGATGGGTGTATCATGTATATGATTATGGTGCAGTGATCAGTAGGATCGTGTATTCCCCGAGTGTTGGGATGTGTTTATACTTGGTGTTAGAATGTGAGATTGCTCACTGTGTGAGTTGATTTATATGGTGTTGGTGTATGTTATATCTGTACATATGTGCATTGGTGTATGATGATATGATCAGGAGGATCGTGTGCACGTTGAGTGCCTAAATATATTAGTTATGCATTGGTGTGTGCATATCATGGTGTTTTGGTGGGATGAATCATGTCTCAGGAGGAGCGTAAGTGATTCATCCGTACTCCTTTGTGGAGAATGGTGGGGGATAGATCATGTCTCAGGAGGAGCGTAAGTGATCTATCCAGGTTCGATTGAATGAACCAATGAGTCGGTACCGCATGCATGGTGTTGAGTTGCATATTTGCATTATAATATGTTATATTGTAATTTGAACAGTAGGTTCGTCATATGGAGTTGTTGGGGGTGAATATTGGTGTGTTGGTGTGTTTTACTACCTTATTTACATGTATTACATTACCATTATATTCTGATCATTATTTCTCACCCCTTTGTTGTTGTTGTGGTATGTGCTTCTTCGGAAGTACAGATAATCCAGGTGTTTAGCTAGCTTGGATATTGGTGTGACCGTCGAGTCTAGGATGCTCTGATACGTAACACGGGATATGGGTGTTGTAATTTTTTATGTCAAACGTGTTGAAATCCTGTGACGTATCATGTTTTGATGTATTTTACTTTATGAAACAAATTCCGCTGTATTATTTTGAAAAGAATGAATAAAGTATTTTTATAAAATTTGGAGATGTGATATCCCACTTTTTGGTGAAAACTCTGATTATTATTATAATATTTATATTTTATTTAATACGGGAAGTGGGGTGTTACATGCTTTCAAGGAGACTTGCAACAGTAACTTGTAAGAAGTGTGGAGAAATGGGATATAACAAAAGAAGTTATAAGGGTAAATGAGTTGCTGACAGAGCAATATCAAAGGGAGGAAACAAAACAAAGAAGGCAAAGACCATTAAGGGTGAAAATAAAGCAAAGAAGACAGCTGAAAAAAGGCTGAGGTTGGACAGGATTCTCAAGCACCACAAGCTACTCAAGATTAAATGTTATGTTGTTTTTTTGTCAAACTAGTGGTCTATGAAGCAATTGGTCTTTTTTATGTAATGTTGTATTTTTATGAACCAATATGCTATGTTATGAACCATTATCTTTTTGTAGAAATTTGGTCTGTTAGGAACCAAAATGACATGTTTATGAACAAGTTGTATTATGATCTGTTATGATATTTTGATATAATATTCAATTGTTATGGTTATTTATTTGTTATGGTTATTTAAGTATTATGAACAAAGTTATGATATGTTATGCAACTTAATCATTGATAAACAAAAAAGGAACAACAACTTATGATCTGTTATGATATGTTATACAATTGTTATGCAACTGTTATGTTCTGAACCATAGTTACAAAAAAAGGAATAACATTAAATCATTAATACACAAACATGTAATTTCATTTCATAATCAATAAGTTACACATTGTTACAAAAGGAACACAACTTAAACACAACTGAACTAACATGTTGCACCTATCAACTTAAACATGTCATAACACATAACTTAAACATGTTAGACATATCCTATTTCATTATAGTTGAAACAACACATGCAATTAACAAGACAACGGTAATCATACAGTTGAGCTTCAAATGCTTCTTCATTAATTTCATTTTCATCTTCGTTTTTTCATCTTTCCTGATGGCATATTTCATCTTTTGCTTCTCATCATTCAAATTCTGTAGTAATGAAGAAATCACTTTCTTTGCCCTTGGGTTAATTTCTTCATCCAACCAAACAAAGTGGTTACACTTCTTGTAACCTTGCATCTGAAAAAATCAATTGAATAGAGTGAAGACACAACAGTCCATAAAGGAAACAAAAATGAGTATAACTTCAAATACAACCTAAAGAAAATCTCACCTTATACATTTCACAACCATAGAAACGACGTCCTGGGTTGCCATTAGTCCATGTTGTCATTAATGAAGCATTCATACTACAATGACATTCATTTCTCAATGAATGATTTATGTAGCTACTCTTTGAAATTGATTTCTCATACATTTTATGAAAACAAAAATGGAGGATTGAAGAGTGAGAAAGATGAAGAAGGAAACAAAAATGGAGAATTAAAGAGTAAAAAAGATGAAGAAGACGGCTAGAGCAACATGAAGAAGAAAACAAATATGAATTTCCATTAATAAAGACAATAATAAAAAAATCATTGTTTAATTAAAAAAATTTAATACTAAAATTAATTATTATAAATTAAAATATTAATAAAACATAACGTGAAAGTCCACGCTGTTAATGAGAGAGTCAACTAAATTTTAAGAATTAACATAAAGGATTAAAATTTAAAAAATTATAAAATATGGAGAACAAAAGTGTATTTTAAAAAAGAAGAAATTTTAAGTTAACATAAAACATTAAAATTAAGACAAATAAGTTTTGGATAAGACTATGGTTGTTATAGTTGCAACATTTAGAAACACACACGACAACACAATTCAGTTGTGTTAAACCCTCACAAGCTCCTATGGCGACCTTTGCTAAACCCTCTCAACTCCACACTCCTCAAAGGTACCACCACCCCATTATTCCAACCAATTTCATCAACTCAAAGTTCAAAACTTTCACTTCCACATATAACTTTAAGACCCTTAAACGCTTTCGGGCCCCAAATTCTTTCACTGCCACAATCACTTCTTCCATTAGTAGCAACAATCCAAACTATGATCTTTGTCAACTATGCCTTAATGGGAACTTGGAAAGTGCTATGAGTTACTTAGAAACCATGCACGAGCTTCAAATTTCAGTTGAAGAAGATTCTTATACTGCTTTGGTACGTTTATGTGAGTGGGTAAGAGCTAGAAAAGAAGGTTCTAAGGTTTATTCTTATGTTACCAAATCAATGATGACGACCCATTTGAGTCCTAAGCTTGGAAATGCACTTTTGAGTATGTTTGTAAAGTTTGGTAATTTGGTTGATGCTTGGTATGTGTTTGGTAAAATGCCTGAGAGGAATTTGTTTTCTTGGAATGTTTTGGTTGGTGGTTATGCTAAAGGCGGATTCTTTGATGAAGCGTTGAATCTTTATGATAGGATGTTGTGGGTTGGTGTTAGGCCTGATGTTTACACTTTTCCTTGTGTTTTGAGGACTTGTGGTGGTGTTCCTGATTTGGTTAAGGGTAGAGAGATTCACGCTCATGTTTTGAGATTTGGGTTTGCGTCGGTTGTTGATGTTATTAATGCTTTGGTAACTATGTATGTGAAATGTGGTGACGTTGTTACTGCTAGGTTGGTTTTTGATAAAATGACTAATAGAGATAGGATTTCGTGGAATGCAATGATTGCTGGGTATTTTGAGAATGGAGAGTGTTTGGAGGGTTTGATATTGTTTTGTAGGATGATTGAACATCAGGTTGAGCCGAATTTGATGACCATGACGAGTGTGCTTACTGCTTGTGAGCTTATAGGTGATGAGAGATTGGGGAGGGAGATTCACGGTTATGTTGTGAGAACTAAGTTCTCAAGAGAACCCGAGGTTTATAATTCGTTGGTTCAGATGTACTCATCTGTTGGACTTGTCGAGGAAGCTGAAAAGACTTTTTCTCAAATTGAATGTAGAGATGTGGTATCATGGACTGCAATGATATCGGGTTACGAGAATAATTTGATGCATCAGAAGGCTCTTGAGACATATAAAATGATGGAAGCGGAAGGTGTCGTGCCAGATGAAATTACCATCGCGGTTGTACTCTCTGCTTGTTCTTGTTTATGTGACTTAGATATGGGGATGAACCTTCATGAGGTGGCCAAGAAGACAAGGCTCGTTTTTTACGCTATAGTTGCAAACACACTTATTGACATGTATGCTAAGTGTAAATGCATTGACAAGGCTTTAGAAGTTTTCTACTCTATTCGCGACAAGAATATTATATCCTGGACATCTATCATCCTTGGCCTTAGGATCAACAACAGATGTTTTGACGCTTTGTTTTTCTTTAAAGAGATGATGCGCAAACAAAAGCCGAACTCGGTTACTTTAGTCTGTGTCCTATCCGCATGTGCTAGAATAGGAGCTTTGACATCTGGAAAAGAGATCCATGCTCATGCATTGAGAACTGGAGTAAGTCATGATGGTTTTATGCCTAATGCAATCTTGGACATGTATGTAAGATGTGGAAGAATGGAATATGCGTGGAAACAATTTTTCTCATTTAATCAAGATGTTTCCACATGGAACATTTTGCTAACAGGATATGCTGAGCGCGGGAAAGGAACACTTGCTACCGAGCTTTTTCAAAAGATGGTAGAGTCAAATGTTGTTCCTGATGAGATTACATTTATCTCCATATTATGTGCTTGCAGCAGATCTGGTATGGTTGTAGAAGGCTTAGAATATTTCGACAGCATGCAATATAAGTACTCTATCAAACCTAATCTGAAACACTATGCTTGTATGGTTGATTTATTGGGACGCGCTGGAAAATTGGAGGACGCATACAGATTCATACAGAAAATGCCAATGAAACCAGACCCGGCAGTTTGGGGAGCTTTATTAAACGCATGCAGAATCCACCGTCGTGTTGAACTCGGCGAACTAGCTGCTAAAAATATCTTTCAAGATGATACAACAAGTGTTGGATATTACATTCTTCTGTCGAATCTATATGCTGACAACGATTTATGGGACAAAGTTGCTGAAGTTAGAAAAATGATGCGAATGAACGGTTTAATAGTAGATCCTGGATGCAGCTGGGTGGAAAACAAGGGCACGGTGCATGCTTTTCTCAGTGGTGACAACTCTCATCCTCAAATGAAGGAATTAAATGCACTTTTGGAGAGATTTTACGAGAAAATGAAGGAAGCTGGTATTCAAAGGTTAGAAAGTAGCTGTATGGATATAATGAAAGCTTCGAAGGCGGATATATTTTGCGGACACAGTGAGAGATTTGCCATTACATTTGGACTTATTAACTCAGCACCTGGAATGCCTATTAGGGTAACTAAGAATCTGTATATGTGCCAAAGTTGTCATGACACTGTCAAATTCATCTCAAAGGAAGTACGCAGAGAGATCTCTGTAAGAGATGCTGATCGGTTTCACTATTTTAAGGGAGGTATATGCTCTTGCAAGGATGAAGGGTATTAGGTTTATCATAATTAGAAGGAAAAATGTAGGATATGTAGCACCATATTGAAAAGTTAGGATTGAAAGATATTACAAGTTTGAAATGTTGTATAACAGTGATTAATGGGCCTAGGAAATATTTGATCAGCCCTATGTATAACGTGGTTTACATAGAAATAAAAAATTAAAAGGTTGTTATCTTATGTCTGTTGTACTTAGTTTCTCCAGTTTCTCTTGTGTGGTGTTTTCTGTTGGTACTTTCAGCTTCTCTTCCTTTTCTTCTTACTCTCTTGTTCTTATTTTTCAAATAAACCACCTTTAGATGCCTTAATTTCTTTGTTAGCTAATATCAGAACCTCAAAGCTCATTTGGACTTTCTTTGTTAGCTAATATCAGAACCTCAAAGCTCATTTGGACTTGGTAGCCTTATTCAATCGCCAATAAACAGTTGGTTTAATTGTTAGTCGATTCTATATTAATTGATTACAACATCAATTGATTGTGATGTATCATATTGTTGATATTATAATGGGTTATTGAGTATATCTCATTTTGTTGAAATTATTATGGGGTGTTGAATATAATTCATATTGTTGAGATAATTATGGAAAGAGATAACTCTTTGTTGAGGACAATTAAGGATTAGGGTTTAGGTAAATTGAACACTAGTATTATATATGGTTTGTAACATTGGAATCCTAATTAATTTATAAGATATAAACAAAGTGAATTATAATTGCTCTATAGACGCAAAGGTAGACATCATTGACGTAATTGCGTTAATAAAGATCGACAATGTTTATTGTCTTTTACTTTTGTTTATCTTTAATCTTTTATACTGGTTGTTGTTCTATCAGATGGCGATTAACCCTGGTGTGAAATTTGAGACAAGAAGGTTCGATGAGATAAGTAATTTCAAATTATGGCAAAGGATGGTTAAGTATCTGTTGGCTCAACAAAGTTTACAAAAGGCATTGCATGAGACGAAACCAAATTACACAGATGATGTTGGTTTGACAGAGATGAAGGAGAAAGTCAGATGATTGATTCTCCTATGTGTTTCAGACAAGATGATCATATCCTGAACGTGACAATTTCGAAGGAGGTTTGAGACAAATAGATAATCACTATATGTCAAATACGTTGATGAACAAATTATTCATGAAGCAACGACTATACAATCTAAAGATGCATGAAGGATCTGATTTTTAACAACATGTTAATATCTTCAACAACATAGTCACCGATGTAGTGAGGCTTTGAGTGAAAGTTGATGACAAAGATAAGGTCGTTATCTTGCTCTACTCGTTACTAGGTTTTTATGATCACTTGATGACTACTCTTACCTATGGGGGTAACATTGTCGGTCTTGATGTGATTACTGCTACACTTTTGTCTCATTCTCAAAAGAGATAAAGGGTAGAAGAAGGAACTAAAGGTGAGAATCTATATGTGAAAGAGGGTCAAGATCGTGGGAGGAACAATGACAATGAAGGTTCTGGAAAGAAGACATCTAAATCCAGGAATTATAAAATAGCTAAGTGTTATAGTTACAAATAAATTGGGCATTGGAAGAGGCATTGTCCAAACAGAAAGAAGAGCTCATCCAGTTCTACAAATGTGGTTCAAACCAATGATTTTGTCCAAACATATGTGTGGATCCTTGACTCTAGTTATTCTTACCACATGATGTCGCGTTCATAATTATTTACTACATTCAGGTCAGGTCATTTTGGATTTGTTCTTCTAAGGTAAAAAAGAGTCATCAGTTGTAAGTGGGTGTTCAAGAGAAAACCAACAGTAATAGAAAAAGAAATGGAAAAGTACAAGGCTCGTCTTGTAGCAAATGGGTACTCACAATAGGGGATTGATTATGATGATATTTTCTCTCCGGTCGTCAAACATACTTCTATCAGGGCAGTGTTAACATTAATGTCTAGCCAAGACATGCATTTAAAGTATATGGATGTGAAGACAACATTTCTTCACGATAATCTAGATGGGAAAATTTACATGGAGAAACTAGAGGGATCGAGTGACACTAAACATGGTAGACTAGTTTATAAATTGAAGAGGTATAAGTATGGTTTAAAGCAGTCTCCAAGGCAATGGTACAATCACTTTGATTCATTCATGCTTAATATTGAATATAGAATGTGTGAGTATAAATTTTGTGCTTATGTTAGGAGCCTTGATGATGTCTCTTTTATTTTCCTATTACTTTATATTGATTGGTGCCAGTCATTTACATTATGTAAATGAACTGAAAATCACGTTGGTAAAGGAGCTTGACATAATAGACTTAAGCGGTGCTAAGAAGATTCTTGGTATGAAAATTCACAAGGATATGAGTGCTAATAAATTATGGCTCTCTCAAAAAAAGCTATGTTGAAAAGGTGCTAGACCAGTTTGACATGAGTAATTTGAAGGCTGTGAGTACTCCATTGGCGAATCGCTTTAAGCTCTCATTAAACTAGTGTCTAAAGACAAATGCCGAAGCTGAGTATATGTCAAAGGTCATTTATGTTAATGTTGTTGGTTGTTTAATGTATGATATGGTTTGCACTAGACCAGATTTGACACAAGTTGTAAGTCAAGTTTGTAAATTTGACACAAGTTGTAAGTCAAGTTTGTAAGTTTATGTCCAAACTAGAAAAGCGACATTGGGAAGAAATCAAGTGGTTTTTCAAATACTTTGAGAGTACTATGAGTTATGGAATCATGTTTAGTAGTGAACATGTTGATCATTTAGTTGCAGGATATGTTGATTTAAACTATGTTGGTGATGTAAATGATATGAGGCCTACAACAGGGTATGCCTTTACTTTATCAGGAGGACCTATTTGTTGGAAGTTATCGATTAAATCCATAGCGATCAAGTCGACAACTGAAGTTGAGTACATAGCGGCAAGTGAAACTGTCATAGAAGCCTTATGGATTACAAGATTGGTGAGAAAATTGGATGTTGAGTAAGGGAGTTTAGTTGCACTGTGATAGTCAAAATGTCATTTATTTGAAAAACAATCAGGTGTATCATATCAAGACCAAGCATATTGATGTGAGATTTCACAAGTTCAGAAAGTTACTTGCATATGGACATATATTACTTAAAAATGTTCATACTCCAAAGAATGCAACTGATATGTTAACCAAGTCAGTCTTCAGTGACGAGTTCAAGCATTGCTTGAACTTGTTACATGCTTCTCAGAGTTAAGCAAGAGGCGTACCTCCCCATTTGACTAGATAAATCTTCATGTAAAAAGTCTTCACAGGAGTTTGATATTCGCCAAGATAGAAATTGTTGAGTATGACTCATATTGTTGTGATTATTAGAGTTATTGAGTATAGCTCGCGTATTATTAAGAATTATAGGTTGTTATATATAACTCATATTGTTGAGATAATTATAGATAAAGATGTATATTTGCTGAAAATAATGAAGATTAGATTTTAGATAAATTGAACTCTAATAGTATATATAACTTCTAACATTAAAATTTTAATTAACTCATAAGATAAAAATAAAGACAACTAATGGTAGATATTATTAGCCGAATTATGTTAACAAAAATCAAACATATTCATTGTTTTTTACTTTTCTTTATCTTTAATTTTCTATAATTTTCTATACTAGTTGTTGATAGTAAGTGATAATTAAATACTCTCAATTCAACATAGTGCCTACTAATTTGTTCAATTAATTATCAGTCTATGTTTAACCGTCAGCAAACAACTACCTATTCAATTATTGGCCTTGTAGACAATACACAAACTAACTTTTTTTGTTGTTGGTATAAATAAAATAAAATTACATGTTATTAGAGAATCTAAACTCATTGTGTATCACAAAAAGTTTCCCATAATTGAAAACCTCGACAAAATGGCAACTAGCTAAAGTCCTTAATATCCCATTCACGTGTATATATGAGTACACCAAAGACATTTGTTTAAAATCAATTCAATTATTATGATAGTAATTTGTAAAATATATAGTTAGTTTTTAGATAAAATAAATGATTAATTTTATTAAAATTTAAAATAAATTAGCAATATTTTTTAGTAAAGATAAATAAATATAATTTATTAAATATATTGTAAAAATTAAAAATAAATTTTTTCAAACTCACATTTATATTAGCGTAAATTTAGCGATATATATAATTAAAAATGGTTTTTATGATAAAATTTTATTTAAATATTTAATAATTTGAAAGTGTGGGAAAAATTAGAAAATATTTAAATTTTAAAAGTGTGAAAAAATTAGAAAAATTTGAAATTTAAAATTTGAAATTTAAATATAATTGTTTTAAATGATAAAGAAAAATCAGAGAGAAAGAAAAAAATAAAATGTGAGGAGAAATAAATAGAATAGATTAGAAAAATTATAAAATAAATAATAATAATAATAATAATAATAATAATAATAATAATAATAATAATAATAATAATAATAATAATAATAATAATAATGAATTTTAAAATTTTAAAATAAAGAAAGGTGATTGAAAAAGTGAGAAGAAGGAGAAAAATAAAGAATTTAATTGATATACACTTTCAACCAATCACTCTCATATATTTTGTTATATCAGACTGTAAATTTTAAGTTAATAGTATTATATGACAGATTGATAAATTCCTATTGAATGACAGTATAAAATTATTTTACACTATCAGTGATATTAATTAAACTAAAAAATAAAAGGTGAAAAAATGTTAAATAAAAACTTAAGTTTCCATGAAGAGGTTTGTGCATTATGTTTTTATGAAATAGAAGATGCTGGACATTTGTTTTTCAGTTGTTCTAAATTAAGACGGGTATAGTTGAGGGTGTTTGGCTGAATTGGATAGATTGGATAGATGAGTCGACAAGTTGGAAACACACAATGGTTTGGTTTTTAAGATTGTGTCGATCATGTAAATTAGAAAATGCAACTGCAATATGGTTTATAACACGCTGGTGTATTTGAAAGACTAGAAATAACATTATGTTCAACGACGGAATTTGCGACGTCAACTCTATT